TGTTTTCTATAATTAATATTCAATTCGCTGTTTATTATTTCTGTTCAGCAATAGCTTTGATGTTTAGTTTAGATTATTCGTATTCCTATTATATCATACATTGTATTTGACCTATGACGTTATTACCGCGATCAGTGATTGGTTTAAAACCGATCTATCACAACTTGAGTTTTGTGTCATGTGACACTTGAGGTCCTCGTGCCATTGTTATCGTTATTATTATTTTTACGTTTGTTGTTGTTTCAAGCCGATGTTGATGTTTCCTTTTCAAAGTTCAATAAATGTCAATCCTGACATGAGACTTTCCGACTTCGTGAATTGTTCCGACCTATAGAGTACAGTGGCTATACTTCGAGCCAAATCACAGCCACAGTTTTTGTGCAAAAAAAGCTATGGTCCTTTACTTTATATTTGATTGTACTTTATTCTGTAAATGACTAGCACTAGGTTAGCATTAAAGGAATGTATCCTGAAAACAATCTTGAATGTTAATTTTTTAAATCTGTAGTTAAAGCATTATTTCTCGCAAAAACCTCAAGAGTGTAAGTACAAAAAAATTAAATGCAAAAATTCCTAGCTTTTACCTATTGTCAAATATTACTGGAAACATCAAATTTGTTTTATTTGGCTCTACCATTTGATTAAATGAGCTGATGGCCATTTTAATCTCCAAGATAGTTAAATTCTGATATTTAGCAAAACAGTTTCAAAAGATAAACAGGTAATTTCATTCAAATTTTGCGTCATGCATATTGGGTTACAGGTGCACGTCATATTTTTGAGATTTGAACAAAAATGGACAACTGGTGGCCACTTTGTTTTTATTCATGTCTGTGCCGATTCCTCACTAATGTATCGCCTGATTCTGTTACAAGTACTGTATTCGTAAGTAATACCGTAAGTTTTTATTTTGTGTGTTATTCCATTTTTCGAATTTTATTTTGTCTAAAATTTTAAAATTGTAGTCTGTGAATGTGTCCAGAATCGTTTCTTGCAGAACAGAGCTTTGTATCGGGATCATACATAATGGGTCACTTGTGCATGTGGTATTTTATATTTCAATGCAAACAAAGTAATAAGTTGACTGGCAATCATTGTCAGCCAAACAATATTTGTGTCAAACACCATCAGTTAGTGCTGTAAAAAAACTTGCATGTTCATTATGTGAAAAAGGTAAAATTCATTTGCTATCATAAAAACTGCTAAAAGTGAGAAATTTTTTTTTTTGAAAAAATATCGTGCAAGGAAAACAATGCCAACAGATTGAACACACAAGTCAGAAACAGGTTTCCCAGGTATCGGCTACGATATGTAGTGTTTTACATGAAGTTGTTGTAGAATTCAAGAAAAATACTATCATAAAACAAATGTTTGGTGTGTTCACAAAAATTTCACCATGGGGAAAAAATAAGACTGAAGTGGAAAGCAAAACTAAAATGTATTCAACTATGAACACTTGTTCAACAGCCAATGTTAAATGTTTCACCAGTTTCTGCATTTAGAATGCAATTTCCCATGCAACTTTGATGCTAAATCATTGCAGTGCTTACTGCAGGTACAAGTGGCTGTCAGAATGAGGTAGGCCAAAGGCATCAGCTTTCCTACCATAAGAATACAAATGTACTTTGTATACATCTTGTGTGCTACTTTGTTTTATGTGATTAGAACACTATTAAAAAACAGCTATGATCAAAACTACTGTAGTTGCATATGCAATTAGCAGCAACAAATGGACATCCATCTCGCTGTTTTACTCTTTCAAAACTACTCTTTTTGGTTAGCAGTTTCATAGACTCATTGACAATTACTTATTTTTATTACAATTTTAGAAGATTGAATGCGAGGCTAAAATTGCAAAAGTGGTTTTTGCTTTACTTATTTGGCATTAATATGCAAATGAGTTGTCTGTCTTAGAATGAAATGTGTGGAGAACTGTGATTTTTATCACATAGCTGTAAACTGTAAATCAGGATTAAAGGTTGATAGATGCATCTATCATTTCAATGTCAAAGAACCTTTCTTTATTGTTGCTACATTAATGTTGCAAGTATCGCATCTTGTGTCAAACACGACATGTCATGATATGCATGTTATGCACACAAGGCCAATGCTATTTGTTGTATTTATTAATCATTGTGCACAAGAACTGCTAGTTTTTATGCTGAAGTAGCACATCGAGAAATGCCCATTGCCAATCTTGGTATGTGCAGTTTGGATCCTGCCTCTGTTAGGACTATTTTCAGAATGTTATCAAACTAGTTCTAGATATTTCATGTGGATTTCAGCATGTGCCGGGATTTCTTGCATGGTTGCAGCATTTGAAATTTGAATAATCCTGAGTCAGATTTAACTTTATTGTTTTATATTTACTCAGATAACGAAAAGGAATCATGTCTATGGATGACTTAAGGAGCGGTGATGTGTTAAATGGCAGAGTCAATAATACAACACACTTTGGTGCATTTGTTGATATCGGCGTTGGACAAAATGGTTTAATTCATACAAGTCAGATGCCTCACTACGTGTTGCAGAATGGTAGACCATTAGAGAGAGGAGATGAAGTTCAAGTGAAAGTACTAAGCGTTGATGTAAACAGAGGAAGAATAGGCCTACAGTTGTTGGAAGTGATGTCAAGTGGTAACTACTGACAATAGACCATGTGTATAACTAATGGTCACACATCTTTGATGTGAATTTCATAAAAAGCAAGATTTGTGTTTTACTTTATTCTAATCATGTGGAGCAAGAACATTATTCATCATTCATGGTGAAGAATTTGTACTTGGGCAAAAATAAAAATACTAGTAATGCCAGGGTTTATAATTTGGGGAGGGGCAGGCAGGCATACACTACTGGCCTATATGTGCATTTTAGCGTTTTGGAACATTCATCCAGTTCGGAGAGTCTTGTGCCATGTGATGTGCATAGTGACAGGTTTATATGGAGCATTTTGAGGCAGCAAGTAGAGCTTTATAGTAAATAAGAAACTTTTGTAAATGTTCGAGTTGAACGATTTCATGTATGTAATAATTTCATTAGCATTATTTGCTGTGGAGGCTGAAAAAAAGTATGGTAAAGCCTTTTTATTACAAAGAAGTTAATTTATCAAAGAATTATCAATTTTGTCGAAACTTTCACGAACGCTTCTATCACACATTTGTGTTTTCAGCCAAGTATCAATTAAAAGATTGTGAACAGAACTGTGCTATTTTTCGGACAAGAGGATTTTTTTGCCGTTATTGTGGTACATAGAATACTGATATTGTGATAGAAATTCTAGCTGGAAAATGCAGGTCATTTGACTGTCCCTTTTAAAAGTTGTTTTAATTTTGTAACTGGCCCCCAACATAGTCATAACTAGTTACTAAACACAGTATGCAATGGTACAATGTCTTGTCTTGTTCATGTACTATTGTATTTCTATTAGTACTAGTTTCTTGTTTATCTACTGTTAAGGAATAAAATTACATTATCATTTAAGATGCTTGTTATTGTATGCAAGTAGTAATTGCATTAGGAACTCTGATGCTCAACTCGCTGGATTACTCAACCCTCGTTTGATCATTTAAGTCTGTACATCCACACTTTGTCTTTGTGCAGATTGTAAACAAAATTGCTCACACTTGAACATTTCTCCCCATGCATTTGAAATGAATCGGCCTGTGCTACGTTAGGCCATCAGCGGGGATGCATCAAACTGCTATGCTTTGACAGGAGCTCATGGAGGAATATACCAACCACATTTATAAATGGGCCAATGTTGATGGACACTTCTGGATTACAATGATTGTTGGTGAAAACCAGTAACTGGTGGTAGTAAATCTAATGGGAAAAGTTTCAGATAAATATGGTCAACTTCCCAACCCCCCTACCCTATTGCTGTAAATGTTATTTACACAAACACTTTTTAATGATACTTTGATAATGAGTTTATATATGAAAAATTTGGTATCTACATGCATTATCCCACCTAAAACCTTTCTTGCCATGGCAGGTTACATCCAACATTGGTCACCTGGTGTGCTTAATACATTGGTTTGAAAAATCCTTAAATGTTGCTATGAGCCTCTGATTAGTGAACGAGAAACTAGGACAAATCCAGGTTGGTGTCTTGCATACTTTCCAACCAAATACAGTTGAAGGCAGCATACATAAACTTGGAAGCCCATGTGTAGTATAGCTGAAGTGATGTGTACTGAATCTACTAAAGTTATTGACCAGAAGTAAATGGCTTTTTTTTTTGCTGGTTCTAGTTTAGAACTCTATTTAGGGAATATTTTTGACTCCCGTGTGCGAAGCACAAAAAGGGAGTCTTTGCAGTTAGTGTGTCTGTATGTGTGTCAGACTGTTCCACTGCTATCTCAAGAACCATACATCAGTTTTTGATGAAACTTGGTGCATAGATGCTCTGGGCCAATGCGCAGATTTGATTAGGTTTTGGTAAAAATCCATGCATATTAATTACCTAATTTGCATGATAATTAGCTGATTTTCATGACTGTTGCACTGATATCTAAAAAACCATTCATTGGATTTTGATGAAACTTTGCACACAGATGCTCCAAACTAATGCGCAGATTTGATTAGTTTTGGGTAAAAATCTGCAATATTAATTACCTAATTTGCATAATGATTAATCAATTTTCGGCTTTTCTACTGATATCTCAAGTACTAATCATCACATTTCAATAAAACTTGGTACATGGATGTCATAGGACACTGCACAAACCTGATAGTTTTTAGGGTAATATCAGTAGATATTAATTAGCATAATTAATTTTCAGTTTTTGATATTTCAAGTAGTAATTGTCACATTTCAATGAAACTTGGTACATAGATGTCATAGGACACTGCACAGACCTGATACTTTTTAGGGTAATATGAGTACATATTAATTAGCTAATTTGCATAATTAATCAATTTTCAGCTTTTGATACATCAAGTAGTAATCATCACGTCAATGAAATTTGGTACATAGATGTCATAGGACACTGCACAGACCTGATAGTTTTTAAGGTAATATGAGTACATATTAATTACCTAATTTGCATAATTAATTTTCAGCTTTTGATATTTCAAGTAGTAATCATCACATTTCAATGACACTTGGTACATAGATGTCGTAGAACACTGCACAGACCTGATAGTTTTTAGGGTAATATCAGTATATATTAATTAGCTAATTTGCATAATTAATTAATTTTCAGCTTTTGATACATCAAGTAGTAATCATATTTCAATGAGACTTGTACATAGATCTTCTAGGATTATGCAGAGACCTAATTATTTTAATTGGATATTAATTACCAATTTGCATAATTTCCACTGATATATAAAGAACCACAAATTGGATTTTAATGAAACTTTTAAAGAGAACTATGCAGAAACCCAATTAGTTTTTGGTAAATATTTATGCTTATTAATCTCCTAATTAACATAATTAATTAACACTGATATCTCAATTACTGATCATCACATTTGAATAAAATTTGGTACATAAATGCTCTAGGACAATAGACAGGCCTGATTAATTTTGGGTTAAAATTTGTTCATATTATTCTCTAATTAGCATAATAATTCATAATTTTTTTGTTCTGTTCTGTTCATATTAGTTACCTGATGTACATAATTAGTTTTCAGCTTTTCTATCAATATCTCATGTACAAGTAATTTTGAATTAATTTTTAATGTGTCTTCAATACTCTCAGCACACGGGAGTTCTTTCTAAGCTTTCTTTGATTATAATTAACTATAGAGCATTCATCCAGAATTCTACAGTCTAAGTTGGCATGCATTTTCAATATTTCATTCAATATTTCATCTAGCTTATGAACAATTGTACATTGATTGATACTCATTTTCTCAGATTAAAGAGTCTAACTGTGAATTTATAGCAAGGAATTCAGAATTATTTGAGAATGAAGTTTACCTTGAAGAAGTATCTGACGTTTTATGTATTGCTCAAGCAGGTACGTACAATGTATGGCGTTACATGTCAGCACTGACCTAGCACTGACCCAGCACTGACCCATTTTAAAGCATGGTACACATACACTTTATTATTAGGTGCATATGTACATAATTTTGTCTGTCAACATGTTCACAAATAGTGCTTGGAGATGACTGGGTCAATTTAAACCAAACTCGGATAACTATACATGTTGATTTGCAGATGTAGAGTTTCTTTTTTTCACATATGTCCCTTTTTTCCTCTGTCTGTTTTATTTACAGACATATTATCTTTATATTATCTGTTGCAGAACTACCGTCATTACTTCCTGTATCACAGGTTGCTGAGGCATTACTGAGAGTGAAGTTTGGTGCATGGCTGTTATGTAGACTAGTAGCAAATGTTCCTGATAGTTTTAATGAAGGTAATGCACATTTTGTTTTCTCACAAACTTACTCTGCTTCCATTGTCAGACATTCCAGGTATTCAGACTACTGTAGAATACTTTATTTTCGTTTGGAATTTATTTTCGCTATTTTCGATGAAGGGATGATTCTGTGAAAATAAAATCCAGCAAATATACTTTTTTTCCTATATTTCACATTCAACTCATCAAAAATCAGTGAAAATAAATTCCATAAAGAACGCCCAAAAAGCTTTTTCAGCAAAAATTAATTCCAGCAAAAATAAAGTATTCCACAGTATTAGATATCAGGGTATATCACCTTTAAGAAAACATGAAAGGGGTGCATCCCTACAATGTAGACTATTCAAGTCACTCAGGTTTCTAATAGGCTTAAGTTGTCCTTAGCTTGCATCTTCTTGTAGCATTCTACCATAGGCCTGAGGTGCTCTTATCTTGTCTCATTGTAGCAATCCTCTCTTGGCTTAAGCTTTTCACCACCAGACAAAATTTGGTAACTTTTCAGTTTTTACTCAAAAAATGTAATTATTTTTGTCCCTATCTCCTGAAGGTAACTGCAGACTATAAAAGGGATTATTGAATTTGTGATGAACAGAGCTGGTAGTGAAAGGGTTAAGGTGTTTTTATTTTTGCTTCTCATGACGTGGTGCATTAATTGTAGCAATGTATCTTTATCAATCCCTTCTTAGTTTGTGAGATATTGGTATCAAGAGGGGAACATCAAGATGAAGAAAGTCTGGGTGGAAGGCGGAGGACTGAAACATTACGTAGACTTTGTAAAATGTATCCAAGTCAAGCTATGAGTGTCAGAGCACTAGCAGTGAGTTGATATTTATAAGATACATTGTTTATGTTCTTGTCCGGTTTATAAAATTGGACATATTTCTCTTGATTTTAATGTTTTGCAATTGACCTTACTTGGTGAATATGCTGCATTATTCACTTCAACTCTGCATATTGTTGCTATG